TAAACCCTAAACCCTAAAGCCAGTAGTTCACGGTTCACTCCGCAGAGGTCCTCCGAGGAACTCCCCGATCGATTGGAGTATGGCGCCGTCATCCGGGACCGGGATCTTTGTCAGTTTGGGGCTTTAAGGGCTAGGGTTTAGGGTTTGGGGAATTAGGGTTTAGGGTTTAGGGTTTGGGGTTTAGGGTTTAGTGTTAGGGTTTAGGAATCTTTGTGAGTTTGTGGCTTACGGGTTTTAAGGCTTGAGGGTTTTGGGATCTTTGTGAGTTTGGGGTTTAAGGGTTTAGGGTTTAGAGTTTAGGGATCTTTGTGAGTTTAGGGTTTAGGGTTTAAGGTTTAGGGATCTTTGTGAGTTTGGGTTTTAAGGGTTTTGGTTTAGGGTTTAGGGTTTAGGGATCTTTGTGAGTTTGGGGTTTATGGGTTATAAGGTTGAGGTTTGGGTTTAGGGCTTAGGGTTTAAGGAGTACTTGAAATATAATATAAGCCATATAGGGGGCATATAACCCCACTTGTACCTACCCATGAAGCTCCAAGTAAGGTTGAGACTTCAAGGTGTAGGGCTGAACTAAGCAAGGCCGAAGTCTTCGTGAGCGTTGGTGGCTCAACAAGGAAATTTAAACCCTCAAGCGCTGATTTTAGCCTTAGGTTTACAGTGAGTTAGACTATTACTAACAATAAGAATACTGCTGTTGCCACTACCACGCCGCCAGTGCCACTACCATTGCCGTGACTTCGACCACGACCGTGAAGGCTACCACTACTGCTACTCCTGCTATTACTCCTACTGCCGCTTCTTCTACTCATAATTAATCCTAGTACTGCTACTACTACTACTACTACTACTACTACTACTACCACTCCCGCTCGTACTCCTACTCCTACTCCTACGCCTACGCCTACTACTACTACTACTACTACTACTACTACTACTACTACTACTACTCCACGTAATATTTTTGCTACTGCTACACATGATAATGAAAAATACTGTAATACTGTTAATAATAATCATGACGGACAATAGTGG